TCTGAATTTTTTTCTTTTCTAATTCCAAGATGAAAGTCAAGAATCTCACTTTTTTCTTACTCCGACATTAAAGTCAGATTCTGACTTTTTCCCCTGAGAAAGTCTGACTTTAATCTTAGAGCTCTGAGGGGGAAAAAAGTCAGAACTYGGGAAAATTGTTTATTAAACTCATCCTCTCTTCTGTAGGACAAAAAAAATTAAAATAGTTTGGGCTTTGTTCAATGAAAGAATTAATCATAGATTTCTTCCTCTCTCACAGCACAGGTCCTTGGTTTACATGGTGTATGGGATCCTGGCTGTGTGGACCAGCATGGGTTGGACCTACATCACCCTCATGCTGTCCCATTGCATCCTCCTCTACAGCATCTCCTTGGTGAAAATCCCCTGGCTCTGCTTCGTCACGGGTTTTTGCACCCTCGCCACGTTCAAATGTGAACCCTTCGTGTCCTGGCAGGTAAACTCTTTCTGCTCCTCGTCGGCTCAACATGGAGGATGTTTCCGACACATCTTCTCCACGCAGGTGGGCTTCGTGGAGGGAGACTTTGAGCTGCGTCGCGTTCTTTTCTACGGAGGCTGCGGGTTCACCATCATGCGCTGCACCAGCTTCGCCCTGGAGAACTGCGACAGAAAAGACGGACACTACAACATCCTGGAGCTTCTCAAGTACAACTTCTACCTGCCTTTCTTCTATTTTGGTCCCATCATGACTTTTGACAAGTTTTACATTCAGGTATGAGAACCAAGTAGAGATAAAACACACATCTGCAGTTGTAACGTGTTTGCTGCCCCTTACAGGCTAATAAGTCCAACCTGACCAGAAAAGAAAGGGAGATGTGGAACATCAGCCTGCAGGGTCTGATCCATTTGGGAGTTGTCGTCGTAGTGGACGTCCTTTTCCACTTCATGTACATCCTCACCATCCCCACGGACGTGAAGCTCCTGAAACACCTCTCAGACTGGGCTCTGGGTACGTCTGTCTGAATGGCGGCAGCGCTTTGTGACATCACGAAGCTGAACTAACACTTGGCGTCATTTTGCAGTTGGTCTGGCGTACTTTAACCTGGTCTACGACTGGGTCAAAGCAGCTGTGATGTTCGGAGTCATCAGCACCGTGGCCAGACTGGACCACCTGGACCCCCCCAAACCACCCAAATGCATCACAATGCTTTATGTGTTTTCTGAAACGTGAGTTACGTTTTGATCGCTTTTGGTTCAATACATCTTTAACTAAACCATTTTTCTTATTTTAAAGGCATTTTGACCGAGGAATCAACGACTGGCTGCTTAAGTGAGTAAAGTTTTTTATTAATGGAGTTTGGATGTGGAGGTTCTGATGGATCCGTGTCCTCAGGTATGTGTATAATCACCTGGGTGGAAAGCATGAGAACGTGGTGGAGGAGTTGGTGGCGACGCTCTGCACCTACGGTGTCACCGTGCTCTGGTTGGGACCCTGCGAGGTGGTCCTCCTCTGGGCTTTCTTCAACTGTTTTGGCCTCAACTTGGAGCTGTGGACCACCAAGTTCTTCTCCGCGGAGCCTTTTGTCACGTCTGAGGTTTGTTCATGTGGAGTATTTTGTTATTTAATGAAGAATTCTTGATAGGTGTGCAACATTACATGTATGTACCCGTATTGARCCGTTCAATACAGTGCTTTATCATCATCATCATCATCGTTTATTCATAAAGCACAATAAAAACAAAAGTGCTGTACAGGAGCCTAAAATAAAAACAAT